TCAACTGATAATACGTTTCAATGTTTAACTATGGATATCCCTTTATTTCTTGATTTATTTGCATAATGTAGTTGAACTATTTTTCCATTCAAATTCTGATTTGTTTAGAATGAAACAACATTTAAACCTTTTTACCATTCCCTTTAAACACAATTTGAGTAAAATGAAATATGTCAAATTGTTTCCATTCAAAAGAGTGCTAAAGATGGCTGAAGTCATGATGATTTAGATGTCAGATTTTCACACTGAGAAGAAAATTAAGCTCAGATGAAAATGAGCTATATCAGCTGCTGAAGTAGTATTTTTCTGAAAAGCATTTAAAAATTATGCATTTGTATATGATCTATAGAGAGAAAAGAAAACTATCAGGTTACCTTCTGTACTGTTAATGTTCTCTTCTGTATTGTTATCATTGGACTGTGAAACAGTTGGACATTCTGCAGGAACTAAAATAGAAAATTAAGTCATATTCATCTAGGATAACAATCTATAAGGTGCAGACAAATAAGACATACAAAACTCCATAATTTCATTTTAACTTAGGATAACAATTCCTTACATATTGTTGGCATAATGATTACTACAAGTAAGAATAAATAGTCCTGATAAATGCTACTTCTAGCTGATTTTGCTGGTGGAGAAAGGGATAGTAAAGAAGTTTTCTAAATTTTGTATGTGTATCAGGGACACTGATAGCATTAATTTGCACTATTCCAATTCTCAATCAGATGTTTGTGGTTCCCACAATTCCACTAAAACTAAGTGTTTGATGATGTCACTAAGCACAAAATATATTTGTATCACATCAGTGATACATCACAATACGTCAGGATTAGTAATGAAACACATATTTACTTATTAACTGTTTTGCTTTAACCATGGTATCACTTTAATCATTTCATCTTTTTGTTTTGTTTTCCATTTTTTATATGAGTTTTGTTCAGAATAACAAAGATAAGACAAAAACTGTACATTACTAGATAACAATAAGCCTAAGGGAGACATTCAGGGAAAAAATTTCTCGGGATTATCATCCACAGATCAAAGAGAATATATTTCAAATCTCCATTATCTTCCTTGCAACTTGGCAATGTTATCTTTTCAAATATTTAAAATGTTTGTGTTATCGGAACAATGAAAACATGATATCTTTCCACATTTTTTTTTCTTTCAGAATTCAACAACTACACAGACTCAAATCATTTGGTGGCTTAATGCACAGGGAAATAGAGTTTTCCAAGATTTTATCTCATTCCACTATATATTTTAATTCTTATTATGACAGGTACATGCACATTTGAAATAAGAAAATACATGATGATTAACCCTATCTGAAAACTTTGATTACTATCTTAGGCTAGGTTCGGTATCTCTAATACAAACAGAAAAATTGGAATGGTACAAATCAATATTATCAATGCTATACACATGAGGTTAGAAAACCTCTTATACAATCCTTTTAAACCAGGATAACTGCTTGAGCTTCTGAATCTCCTAACCATTCCAAATTATCATTCATGCAAGAAGCCAGATTTAAAGCTAGTTTGACGGTTAACCTTATCAAAATGGTAAAGTAACTTTAACAATCGTTAGAATATATTACATGACCAGAGATAAGACAAGCTGGCTTATCACAATTTCTGTTTTCTTTAACTTGTAATTAACGACATGTGGAATTTGTATTCATTGCTTATCTCCCTTTATCACAATCTTTAAGGCCTATAACAGGGTGGGGTTTCACCTTGTAATCAGACGCAAGACAAAAGGTGGCCATTTTCATTGTTTCTATCTTATCTTGAAAATACCCTGACGTAACAAAGCTCATTTGCATCTCATGTTTTTTCAAATTTTCCCAACATTCCATACTTAGATTTATTTCTTTATTTGACCAATATGGAAGCTGGTGTTCATTAATTTCAGAATTAAAGATAAAGCAAAGATAACTATCACCACACTGACTGCAGTTTTCCCTTTGTCCTTTTCACTGTGTCTAGGCATATTACCATTGAGCTGCAAAACAAGTAATATGGAAGAACACTTGTTCTTTCGAAATTGAAAAAAGACATGCAATATTGTAGCTATAGCTATATAGCAATCACAGATATTACAGAAGAATGTGCATAACAATTTTTGTTTTGATCAAATTCATTTAAGTCTTAACAGCTTAACGCCGATCATTAGGAAAGATAGCCAATTATTGAATTTTTACTATGACTTCATGTGAAAACTATGATGAATTTAATGAAGGACTCAACTATACAGATTGATGATCAGTAAATCATTTAGGCAAAAGGTAGCCTTACTGCAAGGATGAAATCAAATTGAAATTTTCTTTTATGTATTTGTACAGCAGTTTATCATCAAAAAAGATACTTTATTTATTAAACACTCATCCCCGTCTTCAGCTCTGGTATGATTTTTCTGATCATAGGCTATCAGGTCACTCCAGAAAAAAATTTCCAAAATATCTCATAATTTTCACCCAATCAAAGACTAAACAATTTCAAACTACAAATTCAAGCTGCCATTTTTCATATGAAGTTAGTGAAAGAGTTATCTCCCTGGACACAATATCTTGTCACATCAGATGATTTTTCATACAAAAGTATCACTATTTCAGTATTCTAACTAAATAATTATGATTTTGCTATGTACCATTTAGACCTTAAGATAATATTAAAGTTGATTGGCAGTCGTTTAGTTTTAAAATACTTTATTTTGTAGTGAAAAGTTAGTATGAAGACGAGTTATCTTCTCTTGATTCTCACCAATGGACCAATAAACTGTTCAGATTTCTTACAACTCCAAAGTTGTATTGTGTTACAGGGACATTTAAGAATATTCCGTAATGTCAACAATTAGGCTATGCCAAATTATGCTATTTATATAGTCATGGTGAAAATTCTTAAATACTAGCGATCCGAAATTGGATCTGAGTAACTCAAAAAAATGTAGCATTTCATGTCTGGCTCTAAACGTGTCAATATCCCACCCCCGTATATCACGTCCGAGGACGGGTTGTCGGGCTAGTTAAGAGAGAATGTGTGGTGGGTAACTATGCTTTTTTCACTTTTTATCTCTGCATATCTCTTACCTTGAACCAAAACAAACAATAGTAAGCCCACACAAGTACACGTCTTACATCTTACAATGTGCAACAAATGATTACAAAAATGATAGTATCTTAGTGTTTTCGAACAATATTTCTTAACAAAAAATCAATATGGTTTAATGAAATAAATGCAAGAAAAAAACATTGATTTTATGTTGTTTATCCTCTCAATTTCTACTAAATCGCTTCTATATCACTAGTTGTCAATAATTTTTAGATGAAGTGTGTGCAGTGATAAGAGGTGAAATAATAGAATGTTGTATGAAGAGGCCATAATCTGTCATGCACATCTTAAATAATATTTCGAGAAAGACGAAGGATTCGTTGTATGGAGTGGTTTGATAATAAGTCGAGACGCGCGAGTTTAGAATGTTGTCACAAATTTACATCTAAATTCCATTTGGTAGTTGTAGATAAGAGGCTATTGAGTCTTGACTAACGTTAAGATGGAAAGATAGGCGTCGCACAATAATACAAGATTTCCAGGCCAGTTTCTCTTATCTGTTTAGCGCGTCGAAGAGTTTTCTGATTGTGTTCTGTAAACTGTGGGTTATCAATTCTTATCACTTTCCGAACAGACTCGACCTCCTAGCATCGAGTTGTATTGATCAAATTCAGCCTAAATCAAGCATGATTATCGCATAACACAGATTATAGGTTTCCTTTTATAATTATACCGTGTGTCGGCGAAAAGATAAAAAGTTACCGTTATCAATTCAGCTTATCTCCCCTTATCGTCTGTTTCATCGTCTATAATGCTTCCAAGTTGAACAAAACCTATCATTGTGGAGCCACGTTTATCTTTCGTCTTTTATACAGAAATTGAAAATATGAGCCGATATTATCGGTAGAGACATAGGAGGGTTTGAATATGCCCGTTGGAGATAACACACACCGATTTAATATACCACTTATGTTACCCTACTGCTATCGAAACTCCTTATCAAATCTAGCCAGTATATTCTTCAAGTATTGAAATAACTAGACCCACCTTAAAGTTAAATTTAACATGAGTTTTTATATACTATCATGTAAAAATAATATAAAATACATATTAAAATTGATAGGACAGTATATTTAATAGTGAGTGATACCCCGAGTTTAACAGATTAAAAATAAAGAACACATTCACTCCGCAATAGACAAAAACATGCCTCTATTTTTATAAACCCCTCCTTCGTACATTTAAGTCAAATGTGGGTAATAACTGAACTTTCAAAATTGAACATTAGACACACTCATCTGAGAATATGTTACATTTAACGAACTGAACGAAACATAACTTTTTTGGAAATTGGAAATTTAATTTTTTTTTAAATACTAGTGTACATTAGAGATGATTGTTCATTGATAGAGGACTTATCACTATCAACTGAACATTAGAGACAATAGAGAGTCATAGAAATTAAAATATAATATTACTGATAATATAACTGTTCATTGGAGATGATTGAACATGAACATAGGATTCAAGAGGACTTGAACATGAAATGGAATGAAATTAATGGAGTTTTACGTCCTACTTTTCTGCACCATGTGGGCTAATGAAGACGGGCAACGCCATGCAGGGTGCCGATTTCCAACTGACGAGGGATTTTTAACGTGCACAGCCTGTAGCACACGGGGCATCGGTTTATTGTCCCATCCGAACGACTATACGCTTTTTCCATGTCAGGCCCTCCTACCTGCACTAAACCTTCAGGATAGCGAGCAAGCGTCTAACCTACTGAGCCACCGCGGCTCCCAGACTTGAACATGAGAGAGAACTGAAGAATGGAGAGACCTGAGGAACAAGTAATAGACATAACTGAAGAAGAGGAATGCGTAATGGAGAGAACGGAAGATGAGGAATAGTAACGTAGAATACTGAAATGAAATGAACAGAGTTTTACGTCCTTAGGAGAATATTGAAGAAAAGGAATAAGTAATGAAGAGAACGGAAGATGAGGAATACGTAATAGAGAATACTGAAGAAGAGGAATACGTGATAGAGAGAACTGGAGATACGTAACACGTAGTGGACAGAATTAAAAAAATAGAATACGTAATGGAGAATACTGAATAAGAGGAATATGTATAACGGAGAATACTGAAGAAGAGGAATACGTAATGGAGAATACTGAAGAAGAGGAATAAGTAATGGAGAGAATATTGAAGAAAAGGAATAAGTAATGGAGAGAAGGGAAGAAGAAGAATACGTAATGAAGAATATTGAAGAAGGGGAATAGTAACGGAGAATACTGAAATGAAATGAAATGAGATTTACGTCCTTTGGAAAATATTGAAGAAGAGAAATGAGTAAGGAAGATGAGGAATACGTAATAGAGAATACTGAAGAAGAGGAATACGTGATAGAGGGAACTGAAGATACGTAACACATAATGGAGAGAATTGAAGAAGAAGAATACGTATTGGAGAATACTAAAGAAGAGGAATACGTATAACGGAGAATACTGAAGAAGAGGAATACGTATAACGGAGAATACTGAAGAAGAGGAATACGTAACGAAGAATACTGAAGAAACAGAAAGCTTGAAGGATGAAATAGAAGAGGAAGTGATTGTTCAGTGGAAAACTTTGGTATTTTCATGTAAGAGATAAAATACTAATATTAGGATATATATAACTGAAGAATTGGAATTTGGAGAACACTAAAGATAACGTGTATAAAATAGGGAGAATTGAAATTATTGTATATTATAATAGGAAAAACATCGAAGGATATTGGAGAATGCTGAAGAATTGGAAATATAGAATTATATGAATTAAGAATATTAAAAATATGAAGTTTGAATCTTAAGAGACGTGAAGAACAATGATATGTGAGCATAATAGACAGGATCGAAAACTGTATTATAAAATGAATATGGCACCTTCCTATAGCAGACTGCGAACTTGGTTAATTATTATGAATGCAAATTGCAAAAACATAACCCCACACACTTAATTTAACGATAATAAACTACTGTATCAAATTCAACCCAAAACATTATTATGTCAGATTGTTCAATATTACTTGTGTATAAAATTCATATCAATTCAAGACACCCAAAATACAATCAGCATATGATTGACCTAGGAAATGACGATTTTATTCAGATTTCTCTAGAAATGAAGTGATATGACGATAAGACGGGCAGCCTACAATAGTTTGGCGAATTCAGAAGTCTCTTATCAGAAATAAATTCTCGATGCCATTACAGATAGGCAAATATAAGCAGACGGAATGATGGTATCGTACAAAATATAGATTACAAAATGCACCAGGGGATACGCATCTGAAAAACGAATAATCTTTTTTTTTCTACCATGGGAAAATATTGATAAATATGTGAAATGGAAAAAGTAAAATTTGATATTTTCTTCATTTTGATTTCTGTCTCTATGTTATTGGAGGAGATAAAATCAGACGACTGCTGTTAGTTCGTCTGTTAGATTATAATTTAGAGATGAGTTGTTGGTGAAAATATTTTTATTCAGAAGAGTGGGCGGCTAAAGATAATAAAAAAAATGTTTTGTAAGCCCCCTTTTCCATATCGGATGACATACAACACCGAGGGTAATACAAATATTGTATTGCATTTAAAAAAGAATCCAACATTATGCTGCGATACAGGGAAAAATCTTATTCCAAGAAGGTAAAAAAGAAAGTTCCGCATGATACATGAGAGGCTCACAATGTGTTAGTTTTATGTTCTGGCCGGGACTGCAAATACACAGGCTCGATGGTGGATTACATATCAATAGAATGGAATTCAGAATAGTTAAGAATTCCAGCATTTCCATATTTGATAATATAGTCATCTATTTCATCATGGAGATAAGCATCATGGAATTACTAACAACGATGTAAAGAGTCTATCTTAATCTAGCCATGTTTTAAATTACAGTTTTTAATTTAGATAATGACCCGTGATTGTTAATATTGATAATTCTCGTCTAATCAGACTTAATTAAAGTATAATTGCATCTAAACAGACGTGAGTGCAGTAGGTCTACATGCCGCCTTTCATCTTCAAGGAAAGATACCATCTCTCATTGCATAATTGAGATATGGTGGCATTTGAGAACTACTTTTCATGTTATTTGGTGAAATTTAGGCCCTTATCAACAAGTTGGTATTTGACGAGTGGCCTTCATCATTTAGTATTTGTAATACACATGTGATATTGCGATAGCGGTTGCGGTGGGTGTGGGAATATGAGAATATGATATTAATTTTATTAATTGGTGCACGTAATTACTATGAGACGACAATCTTTTTCGGCAAATCAATGAACTATAGTAAAGCTTAATAATAGTAGATAGTTAAATAGTTATTTAAAGGGTTTTACTAGGGTTTTCCAGCTTTTTTAAGTGTATCGAGACACTGATGGCATCTATTTGTACCATTCCAATTTCTTTTCAGATGTCTGTGGATCTTTTATCCTGTATAATAACTTCACTAACGCAAAGCCATTAATAATATCCAGAACATTTCGATGGCTACGTCATAAAACCAAAAGTTTTGGTGTAATTTTTAAACATCTTACAGCGTCACTGCACATAAAAAGCCTCTTTACAATATCTTTATGTTACATGTATCTAATAACTCCAAAAAACAGAGTATGTGGTAAAAAATGAAGCAATACATTTAGTTTCTATTAAATCTCTCTCCAAAATGTTCCTATTAAATGTCACAATAATTGAGCGAAATCCAAAAAGTTGCATAGCAAATGTCAAAATATACACAACGAATTGTATGATTAATGTTTCAATATGTATACATTATATGATTAACATCACAAAACGTATAGGGACCTACTGTCAAACTTTGTACAGTGAATGACACCAAATTATCATAAATCATCAATGTCATCATCTATTACTATTTTGTATAATTATGTCACAATTTGCATATCACTTTGTTTAATGAATGTCACAATTTGTGCAGCGATTTTTATAATGAAAGTTACAGTTTACACAACAATTTGCATAACGAATGTCACAATTTGCAAAGAAATTTTGTATAATGAATGTCACCATTTTTAATAGAAATTTTGTATGATTAATGTCACAATTTGTAAGGATATTTTTGTATGATGTATGTAACGATGTGTAAACCACTTTCTACAATGAACGTCACAGTCTGCATGGTAAGTGTTACGAATTGCATAATAAATACTACATATGTTACAAAAATCTTTATGATAAGCAGCCTAGATAGTAGCCTAGTGATGCAAAAATTATAAGCCCTTTGATTTTGGGGTCGATTAGTTCACGGAACTTAGGAAAATCGTACTACATATAACATAGATGTACATCTAACTTAAGTGGTTTCGATTGGTTTATGAATAGATTGTTCATATATATATGTATTTCACTCTAGTTACTTATTAAAACTTTAGAATTTTCTCCAGAAATCAACACTTTATCTAATCAAAGTAGCCTTATCACACTTTAGCCCAAGGGACTTCTGGATACTTGAGGACAACAGGATATAAAGGTGCGAACATTACCATGGGCATATTATGAGGTGTCCCTTTAACGCCTATAAATAGAACATCCTTTGTTCAATTACATTTATTGAGAAATTTAATTAACAATTATTTCTTCTAATTAATGAAAAGTAGGTTATACATATCTTATCAATCGGAAACGTCAACATACAGATGTACATTTTATTATTATGATATGGTAGATAAGTGAACTGGAAACCTTATTACATAAACTTACAGTTTGAAAGTTCATTTCTTACTACTAGTGTGACTCTGTCTGTATAGCGGGATCAAAACTTCGATGGATTTATGACGAGATCAAACGGAAATTTCTTCTCTAAAATTGGACAAATACGAAACATAAGCAGGCTCTAGCAAGGGAAATCATGGATCGATATTTCAATTTTTTTTTAAATTTCACTCTCAAACTGAGCACTTTGGTTATGCTGAAAATATCTATCACAACGCCTGACAGGCTAGACATACTGTGACATAAGCAACATCATTCAAAATAATGACTGATACTTTAATCCAGGGGACACAGAAAGAATCCCGCTGACCAGAATTCAAAACTAGATCTTTAACAGGTAATAAAGCATGTGAAAGACACGTTGTTTGAGTAGACAGTCAATAACAATACAGCAGGTTAGAATCTGAACGTTGTCTGTCGGTAAGGACTAAAACAATAAGCGAGATGTGATACTGAAAGCTATTGCCAATGAGTAACGCTTATCCAGACAAGGTATCAATAATAATTGTCTAAGCAATAGTATGCTTAGTATGTTAATGCTATTGGTGGTATATTATGTCGGTTTTCATCATATAACGCTTAGCTAGACCCGATATTGATAGACATAGACCGCTTAGTTGAGCAGGGTATTGGTAGACCTGATATTGATAGACATAGACATAGACCGCTTAGTTGAGCAGGGTATTGGTAGACCTGATATTGATACACATAGACCGCTTTGTTGAACAGGGTATTGGTACACCTGATATTGATAGACATAGACCGTTTAGCTGAACAGGGTATATTGGTAGACCTGACCTACATAGCTAAACAAGACAAACAGGATGTAAATAACAGTAAAGCAATAGACTGCTTATTGACACATTAAATCGGTATTCTGTATGATGCTTAGCTAACCATGATATTGATAGACCTTAAATACATAGTAAAACAAGACAAACAGGATGTAAATAATACTAAAGCAATAGACTGCTTAGTATAACAAAGGTATTGATATATAATGTCGGTATTCTATATGATGCTTAGAAAGACATGATATTGATAGACCTAAAATACTTAGCTAAACAAGACAAACAGGATGTAAATAATAGTAAAGCAATAGACTGCTTAGTCAAAGCTATTGACACATTAAATCGGTATTCTTTATGATGCTTAGCTAACCATGATATTGATAGACCTTAAACACATAGCTAAACAAGACAAACAGGATATATTTAATAGTAAAGAATCTATTGATACATTATGTCGGTATTTCATAATATGGTGCTTAGCTAGACAAGGTATAAGTAGACCTAGTAATAGTATGCACGGTGAATGGCAAAACAATGCTTATCCAGAAAAGTAGCTTACAGTTTATTACCATTACTTGATATTGAACATTATTGTATGGACGGGAACATTGCACAAAATATACTAAAAAGTGAATTATTTTCCCAAAAATGCATCTGAACTTCATATATATTTACAAACAAGAAGAGCATGGACCCCTAACCAAAGGGACATTGGTAGCAGTAAGCAAGATTTTGTTTAGTACATAGCCTGCAGACTTGGACAAGTTGCGTCGTCTGCTCAAATACAAGAATTTGAAAAACTCTTTTTTTAAACGATAGGTTCCTCACCAAAATAATGAAATGCGATATGATAACTACTTACCTTTCAAAGGCTTGGGGTTCGATTGTTTTCTCCTTGACATTTTAAAAAAGTTTGACACTATTTAAATTTATTCTTCCATTCACTTTTGTTACGTATCGTTGAATAACGCAATACATAAAACCACCGTTATTACACAGGGGTCAAT